TATATGTACACACACACACACATATACATACACACACACACACACACACACACACATATACATATATACATACATACATGCATATGTAGGCTATATATTATATACTGTATATATAAAAATAATAAAAAAATAATATTTAGACATTTACAAAAACAAAAACAACAAAAAATTACTAAAGCGCATTTTTGTTATTTGAAAAAAAACATTAACTGAAAAAAACCTTAAACTTTATTTTATTAGTTAGTTGCCAATTCAACATTTCTCATTTGCATTTAGTTGCTTAAACTAACACAAAAACTAAAGTAAAACGAATAAATAAAAAAGACATTTACAAAAAAGACTAATTTTTTTTTAACTTTAAACAAAATAAACATCCACTGAAAACAATATTAATAACTTCATAACTAAAACTAATAAATAACAAAACTATTTACACATAAAACTAACAGAAATGACAAAAACAACAAAATTGCTAAAACTAACTTAAAGTGAAAACAGGAAATATAAAAATGAAATATTCTGAATATTAATAAAAACTATAATATCATCTGAGTGATACTAAAATAACACTTGAGTATGAGAGAGAATGTAATAGATGTTCAAGTGATGATGACTAACAGTAATTACCGACAACAACAGGTGCTTGACCCTCAACCAGCAGCAGCAGTAATTAACCAGCTAGTCAGTGTAACCCATGCGTCTCAGATGACTGGCTACTCTAGCCTCCTGTCTGCTGTGTGTTTGTATCACTGAATGCACAAACGCATCAATGAATACTGAAGCAGAATGGCTCCAGCAATATTCATATTGAATGTTCATATCATATGCTAGTATATTAATCTGTTGTCATTTGTGTTCTGGAATTTTAGGATGCTCGTCTTTCAAGAAGTCATATTTTCCCACCTCAGGCCTAATATTCATATTAGTGGTGAACATGCATGGGTTTCTTTCAGCACACATTTATTTGGGTGATTGTAGGAGATTTATCAGGAGCAGAGCATGTGTGATAACACCTTCACACTCTATTTTTGATGTGCTAAAGTCAGCAGAAAATATGGTGCAAATTTGCTGTAAATATATTTATCAACACCATATTTTGCAGTATATCCTCTTATGAATAATGCAACAGAAACAGAGTTATTTATCATGGAATTAAATAAATAGTTGCATGCAAATTGGCTGATATTCTTATGATTTTTTTAAATGTTTTTGTTCTTTTGCATTGTACTCTAGAATCAAATAAAACGTGACTAAATATTAGGTTTAATTATATTAACTTCAGATATAAGCACTATTTTCCGAGAATGCCTTTATGATTGGATTTGTGTATTTTTGAATGTTTTTTCTGGGTTGTGGTTCTCGGTCCTGGTTCACATCTCATCTCTGATTGGACACGTTGTTTATAGCTCATAAAGGGCTCTTATGATTTGATGACGAGTTGAATCGAGTGGATTAGATGAGGGAAACGTCTACAATATCCAGTGATGGTTAGGATGGCTTACATGCACCCAAGTTATCCGTTTATAATCAAACTGACGGCTCAGGTAAACACACCTGTCGATTCCACTGAGCTTGATCCGAATGTAATTTCAGCTGAACTCAATCCCACTGAAATGCTGATGCTATTGAAAGGATTGATGTAGACCTGAAATAATCCGATCGACAGGAGAAAGTAAAGCAGGTAAACACTTGAATATGGCTATTTAAATCAGAGTAAACATATCTATGCGCAGGTGCAGTGGCATTATCTATGTTTACACACATTTTATGTCATACAAATGCACGTTTGACTAAAATAACTAAAAATGAAATAAAAATGTATTACTATAAAGATATATATATATATTACTAAAAAAAACTGAAAAACACAAGCAAATCACAAAAATATAGACAGATATTCAGATAGACATTCAATATTCAGATATTCAGAAAGATATTTGATATTCAGAAAGATATATAGAAATAGATAAATATTTAGATATTCGATATTCAGATATTCGATATTTAGGCAGATTGATATTGAGATTAATATTTTATACTCTGATAGATATTCCGATTAATATTTAATATTCAGATAGATATTCAATATTCAGATAGAAATAGACTACTTAGATATTTGATATTCAGATAGATATTCCATATGCAGATAGATATTCAGAATAATATTTAATATTTAGATAGAAATTCAATATTCAGATAAAATAGATAGACATTTGATATTCAAATAGATATTCAGATAGACAGATCAGATAGATTGATAAATTCCAGACAAATAATTAACCAGATAGATATTTGATATATATATTCAACAGAAAAAAAAGAAAAAAAAAAGACCCCCAAAAAATTAAATCATAAACTTTAAATTTACACTAAAGACAGGAACGTAAAAAAATAAAAACTAATTCGAAATATTCATAAAAACTCAATGACACTAAATGATGCAAACTTTATACGCACACATTTTCATCAGTTTGAATGAATCCAGTCTGATTTTAAGCTGAAGCTGGAACTATGCTGTTCATTCTGATCTGAAAGCAAAGATGCTATACGCTCTGAGAGACAGGAATGCTCTCGTGTTTAGAGAGTTTGGACCGATCGGACGCTCTCAGAGTGAAGAATGTGCTGTTTCTGAGAAAGAGCAAAGTGATTATCATGTACAGTAGGCCCTGCAATTATTTAAATATTTTAAAGTAATTCAAGCACATTCAGACAGTGAGATGTGAGTTTCCAAACACTTTTTGGGCCTCTATTCAAGATTCTTTCTTTCAAACAAGACGTCTGAATAGTGTGAGTAAACAGAATATTTACTTGGATCAAACAGAAATCATATTTGTACATATTTGCATACTGTGAAGAGATTGTCAACCTCTGTTCTTGTTTGATTTTTTGGGAGAAAACATGTGCATTGTATTTCTAATCACGCAGCCAATATTCACAGCCCATCATATTAGAAATATCAAATATGCTTCCCAGTGAACAATAGCTGTAATCAATCCAGAGTTCCCATAATCAACAGATGCAGCAATACTCACCATGACTGACTCGCTCGTGTCTTAATCACTATGGTGACCAGATGAACTGTGACTATCAGAAACATTCACATCCGCTGCGTTAATAGTGACACAGTGATGGTGAAACTCTACAAATGTATTATGAAAGTCACGGTTTGACTTGGAAAGTTTGAGTGACTGTAGAAGACAAAACACTTGGAAATTTATCATGCGTTTTCTCTGGCTCTGTTTGGCCAATCACTGCTGCGCTATCCATGCCGTGGACCTTAAACATTCAGACAAAATGTAAAAGAATTAATGGTACATGAAGCATCAAAATGAACCTTATTAAGGATTTGAGAAACTGGGAAGCTGGTTTCCCAGAGGCCGTTTTTCCTTGTTTAAAATGCACCGTCAATGACTCTGCAGGAATAATTGACGCCTTGGAACTTGGATCGTCTTGAATAGGAAAAATCAATGTGGCCTTTGAAACATAACGGACCGAACGCTCTTTGTTAACCTGATGTCTGATCGTCCCAATACTGGATGACGCACAAACACTAGACGCTCCTTAGATAGATAGATAGATAGATAGATAGATAGATATACGATACACTCTAAAAAAGGCTGGGTTGTTTCAACCCAACTTTGGGTCAAGTATGGACTAACCCAACTTTTGGGTTACATTTTTCAATTAAATATTTTAACCCAAAAGTTGGGTTGAAACAAGCCAGCATTTTTTTAGAGTGTAGACAGACACACAGACAGATAGATCAATGACAGTTTAACTCTGACTCATTATTGACAGAGCAGGTGAATGAATGTGTGTCTGAAAACATTTAGATGAAGCTGAGTATCATCTGCGAGTCTCAGGTCGGCAGACTGAGCGTTTCTCTTCATCTTACTGGAGGATTGAGCGCAGGCTCGTCTCTCAGGAGGCGTAATCACAGATAACGAGCTCTTAAGTTTTTGCGCTTGAGATGGTAACTTCAGGATTTGCAGTTTTCAAGTAGGTTCAAGAGGCTGAATTATCACTTGAGAGCAGATTGAAATATTCTGCTACTACCTATTATTACTCCAGCTTCTCCATTTGCACTCTTTATATTGAAAGCTCTCATAATGCACTATTATGTTAAGTATCAGAAACTTCAAAATCTTAATCCTCCGTGTAAGAGGTGACGTTCATGTATTTATATTCAGCGTGACTCCGCTGAGAACGAGAGCCACAGGCGCTTCATCAGAGTATAAGATCAAGAGCTGCATCACTTGCTGAAGGGGAAAAAGTTCACACTGCAATTCGAACAGTGAAATGATAAGCATCTTATATTACCGCTGCTTAGATATCAAGACAACAATATTTTAGGACCTGATCTGGACTGCAGTCAGATATTCAGATGATAGATAGATATTCGGTATTAGATAGATAGATAGATAGATAGATAGATATTCGGTATTAGATAGATAGATAGATATTCGGTATTAGATAGATAGATAGATAGATAGATAGATAGATAGATAGATAGATAGATATTCGGTATTAGATAGATAGATAGATAGATAGATAGATAGATATTCGGTATTAGATAGATAGATAGATAGATAGATAGATATCTGTTTTATTCTGTGAAACCTTACTACGTGTATGGAATAACCGTTTTATAAAGCAATAAGCCCCATGAAGCCATGGTTTACAGAGAATTTATAACAGCTTCACATCGTACCTAACAACGCCCCTTAGCTGTTATAAATTCACTGTAAACCACGGCTTCTTGGGGCTTATTGCTTTATTTACCATCACAGATGGAGTCACACACACCTTAGTGTTGATGTCGAAACGTTGTTTGCAGGATTGAATAAATATTTTTATTGAAAAAGTCGGAGGCACAGCATGCGGTTCAGTGCATAGAAATGAAACAGCAGCATCAGAGACAGACGGAAGCCCCGTTCCTCATGTTCTTTACCATGTGTTTACTCATGTCAGGAGAGTGAAGAGATGCGGGAAAGACGCGGCCTCCGGCGTCAGCGGGTTACTCCGCACATCCACACTCTTCAGAGCAGGCATCAGAGACAGCTTCTCCATCGGCAGCTCTGAGAGACAGAGAGAGACACGAAGAGATGTGAGACGTGTGCAGCATCGGCCCTTCAGGTTCAGAGACATACTCCTCTTACAATCTCCTCCAATGTCAAGAGAGACAAATGTGACCCTGGTCTTAAGTCGCTGGGGGATATTTGTAGCAATAGCCAACAATACATTGTATGGGTCAAAATTATACATTTTTCTTTAATGCCAAAAATCATTAGGATATTAAGTAAAGATCATGTTCCATGAAGATATTTAGTAAATTTCCTACCGTAAATACATCAAAACTTAATTTTTGATTAGTAATATGCATTGCTAAGGACTTCATTTGGACAACTTTAAAGATGATTTTCTCAATATTAGATTTTTTTGCACCCTCAGATTCCAGATATTCTAATAGTTGTATCTCGGCCAAATATTGTCCTATCATAACAAACCATACATCAATGGAAAGATTATTTATTCAGCTTTCAGATGATGCATAAATCTCAATTTCAAAAAATGGACCCTTATGACTGGTTTTGTGCTCCAGGGTCACAAATGT